ATACAAATTAATCCAGTTTTGATAATTATATTCTAAATTTAAAATATTATTTCAATTCAATTAATTAAGATAAATGAAGTGAGTTTATTGCTGTAATTTAGGGTGTTATGTAAAATTATTAACATGTGTTTTGCTAGCTAATAACTCAAATTTCTTAATTGGTACAGAAAAATTAAGTTTATAAATATCTAAAAAATTTAATTTCCTTTATAAATCTTAAAAATAATTTTACAATTTGAAATTAATCTCTTTCAAGTTTTCTAGTGTTTTTTTGATTATTTTTAGATGAATTTTAATATATCCAATCAACTTAGTGTTATTTAATTAAATTATCCCATAAACTCTATTCTAACCCTCCTCGAAGTTAGAAATTAATCCTCTCATTGTCTATATTCTTAAACCTATATCAAGTAATTTCTATGCCAAAAACTTTTTTGGCCTATATTCTGATTTCCATTAAAGATTATTAACAAGCCTGAGATTAGCTAATAGTTGTTGAATTTTAGCTTAGATAAAGGTTCATATAATAATATTATAAAAATAATTCTATCTTAGGAGTATTTTATCTTTCGAAAAGGATTGATTATCTTTTTTGAATATGATTTGAATAAGAAGTTTTAAGAATTAATTCCTTTTCCTTGGCTGATCCTAATAAAATTGGCTTATCTTAAGTTTATAATTCTATTATGAAATATAAATTAAAGATCTTTGGATTTTTAAATATAATTGTTTTTTTTCATGTCACTAGATTTATTTATACAATTTACAAATTTGGCCTTTTTCATAAATTTTTATTTATTTTTTTACAACTATAATTAGAATTATTTTTTCCACTAGACACTGAGATATTTCTTATTTCTTCATTTGTTTCTTGTTTAATAATTAGGATGCTTTATCTTTCAATTATATTTAAAAGCTTAGCTTTATCCTCTTTATTGCAAAAAAATTTTATTCAATTGCCTATGATTCTTAAATAGAAAGCAGTTGTTTATCTACATTTATGTAAGTTTATACTTTAATTTTTTCATTAATAATCATATTAATCAAAAGATTAATAAGATTATTTAATTTTTCTTATCTTTTTTAGAGAGATTTTCTCCATCTAATATTTATTAATTCATTTAAATTACTCTTTCTTCTTTTTCAAGAAAATTATCATTATCATTAGTTATTTATTTCAAATCATCTAATTTTAGAAATTCTTCTGAATTTTTTTTATTATAATTATTAAGTAATTCTTAAAATACTGATATATGGAAATTAACAAGATTTTTTTTTTAATCAGTAATAATATTGGGCTAAAGATAAATTTACTTCTTCAAAAGTAATTCTATTTGAAATATATTAATTGATAATTTTTCTAAAAATTCTTTGAATCAATAATTTTATCAATTTCAATTAAATTTTGAATAGGATATTTAAGAAATTATAGAATTAATTCTTCTTCAAAATGAGAAATGAGAAACATTTAATTTAATTATTGTGGTATTTTTCTTGAATTAGTGATATAAGATAACAGACTTCTTAATCGTTGAAAATAGTGCTAGATTAATCAGTTAAAACATGTAGTTTGATAGAGATTTTTTAAGAATTTATAGAGCATTAATTAGAATATCAAAAGAGTTCCAATTTGGGGGATGCAATTGTAGAGTTAGAAGAAGAGATTTAAATGTTGTGATACTGAGTGAAGGAACACAAACTCAGAGATAAAATAACAGAAGTATAAATTGCATATTGCTTTTTATTTGACCAATAGAATCTAAGTTTAAAAAAAAATTAAACTTATCTATCAATAATTATTAAATTCCTATATAAATTTTCTTCAACCTTACGTTATAATATCATTTTTTATCAAGTTCGCTTGTATAGGAATATAGTATATTATATATAATAAATCTATTTAATACTTCTTTCACTTAAAATGGCGTTTTAAAGTAATTGAAAGCATGCTTTCTATTATTAAGTTTTATAAAAATTAATTGATACCAAATATAAAGTGGCAGTAATAGCTAAAAAAGGAATTCTAAATAAGAGTATATGTTAGCCTTAATATCTAAATTAAATAATATTATTGATTTCCGAGCAAGATGATTAATGTTTCTGATTTATTAATTTAATCTAAAAGATATCTCAAATATTCAAATCTACCTAAAATTCATGAATTAAATTTCATATTATAACATATATCTCCTATTTAAGATAAAGTGAATTATTTGGGCATTATTCTAAAGCTGATAAGCAATCCCTTAAAGATTTTTCCTTTTCATTCATTCTCCAACTTAATAGACCTATATTTTAAAAAGTATCAATTACCTCTATTTAGATAAGCTCTTGAATCTTCTGGATTTATATCAATTATTGTATAATAATCTAATAGTGCTTGGTCTATCAAATCCATTTGATCCTAAAAAAATCCATATTATTATTAATTATAAATGTGATACCACGATGAAAATAAGCTTTTCATCATTCTTGTTTATCTTTTTCATAGAATTACAATCTTAGAGAGCTTTATCAATCTATTCCATATTCCTATAAAAAGAGATACATGTTATAAAAATATCTAAAACCTCTATTTAAATATGAATTTGTAGGCAATTGTGTTTATCATTTTTTTAAATTATATTAATCCTAAGCATATTTATATAAATTAAACTTCTCATTTGTTAGGCATCTTCATATTTTGGATCAATCTTTAATGCTTTATTAATCTCTTTCATAGCCTTATCTATTTAATTGTTGTAAATCAAACTCTGAATTATTAATATAATCAGCACTTTACTTAACTGTATAAATAATGTTGTAGGGCTAGTTGGTCTAATTGGTTTGCTCATTATTTTTTTTAATTTTTTATAATATTCATTTTTAATATTTCATTCTTATTATCTCTTTATACCAAAATAATTTAAAAGGTAGTAATTAAAATCGGAATCATCTCTAAACCAAGGTTTTCAATATTCTTACACAAATTACAATTTGATTGATGACATCATATAGAAATGAATTGAATTCTCAAATTAAATTGTTAGTATCTTAATTTAAATATAGAAATCTTATTAATATAAATAGAATTTATATTAAGTTTGTAAAATTATGTTTTAATATAATAAAATAAAATATGCATTATGATATTCTGTCTATTTATGAGTTTAATTCTCCTTTTATAATAATATCATTAGGATTACATTCAAAAATGACATAAAATTATGAAAAAAAGTAAAAGATTAATAAAAAATAAAATATTTTAAGGTAATGAATATATGATGGGTTTTTCAATTATATAGTAATTTAACTAAAATATAAAAAATTTTAATTGAATGAAATTTAGCAATTAGAATGATGTAAAATACAACTACAAATTATTTGAAAGTTAAATTTATCAGAATTAATGGTGCGGAGCCATGGCAATTAATTAAAAAAATAATTTTGTATTATTAGGTTATAAATATGCTATAAGAAGATTCGCATTTAAAAATGGAGTTCTTCATAAAGCAAATTTTATCATAAGCCATTCAGATGATGTGCCTTCTTTTTAAATATACTAACCAAATAATCACATATTATATCAGGATCTAATAATGCAAAAATTGTGATTGCAGATACTAATTTGATGGCTAATCCAAAGTATTTTTTTTTTGAAAAAATTAAAAGGACACACTGATCGCATTCATTGGATAGTAATTTCTCCTGTTAATGTATCAAGTAGTAAGGATTGCACAATCAAGTTCTGGAATATTTCAAATTATAAATTAAAGAATTATTGTTATTAGACTTTTAAAGCTCATAAAAAGCCAGTTTTAAAATTATCAATGAATAAATAAGGTAAT